CCCACACCCCTTTCCCCCCTGAGAATAGTCAGTCCACTTCCTTTCTATGCCCCTGATTCTATTATATTCACCAGTTTATTCTGTTCATCAGATTATTTATTCACTTGATTTTTAGATTCACTTGTTGATAGATGTGTATTTGTTGTTCATAATTTGTATCTTTACCTTTTTCTTCTTCTTCCTCTTCTTAAAGGATACCTTTCAGCATTTCATATAATACTGGTTTGGTGGTGATGAACTCCTTTAGCTTTTTCTTATCTGTGAAGCTCTTTATCTGGCCTTCACTTCTGAATGATAGCTTTGCTGGATAAAGTATTCTTGGTTGTAGGTTCTTGGTATTCATCACTTTGAATATTTCTTGCCACTCCCTTCTGGCCTGCAAAGTTTCTGTTGAGAAATCAGCTGACAGTCGTATGGGTACTCCCTTGTAGGTAACTGATTTTCTTTCTCTTGCTGCTTTTAGGATTCTCTCTTTGTCTTTTGCTCTTGGCATTTTAATTATGATGTGTCTTGGTGTGGTCCTCTTTGGATTCCTTTTGTTTGGGGTTCTCTGTGCTTCCTGGACTTGTAAGTCTATTTCTTTCACCAGGTAGGGGAAGTTTTCTGTCATTATTTCTTCAAATAGGTTTTCAATATCTTGCTCTCTCTCTTCTTCTGGCACCCCCATAATTTGGATGTTGGTATGCTTGAAGTTGTCCCAGAGGCTCCTTACACTATCTTCATATTTTTGAATTCTTTTTCTTTTTGCTCTTCTAGTTGGGTGTTTTTTGCTTCCTTGTATTTCAAATCATTGATTTGATTCTGGGGATCCTCTAATCTACTATTGAATCCCTGTATATTATTCTTTATTTCAGTCAGTGTATGCTTAATTTCTGACTGTTCCTTTTCCATTTTTTTGGCATTCTCACTAAGATCCTTGAAAGTCTCACTAAGTTCCTCGGAGGTTTCTAGAAGATTCTTGAGTGACTTATAACTGTGGTTTTGAACTCTATATCCAGTAGTTTGCTTTCTTCCATTTCTTTCATTTGTGACATGTTTCTTTGTCTCCACATTTTGGCTGCTTCCCTATGTTTGTTTCTATGTATTGGTCTCCTTGAGTTGATAGAGTGGCCTTGTGTAGGAGGTGTCCTATAGGGCCCAATGGCTCAGCCTCCCTAATCAACCTGAGGTGGACACTCTTGGTGTACCCCTTTGTGGGCTGTGTGCACAGTTTTGTTGTAGTTGAGCCTTGATTGCTGTTGGTGTCACTGGTAGGAATTGACCTCCAGGCCAATTGGCAGTGGGGACCAGCTGCAACTCCACCACAGTGGGAGAGCTGTGGTGCAGGAACCACCCTTATGGAGCAGGACTTTCGTCAGTGGGGCTTTGGTGCTCATTGAGTCTGCCCCATGAGTGTGTCGCTTATGGATGTGAAGAGTTGTAATCTGGTATGGTCTCACACTGACCACTGGTACACTGGCTCTTGGGTCTCCAGGGAGGTGCAAACTCATCCACTGCCTGGGGCCATCCAGCAGGAGCTACAGAGAGATCTGCAAATTCCTCCTCTTTGTATTGGGTTTGGAAGTGCCCAGATGAGGCCCAGCTGTGAAGCAAGGCAGGCTGGTGTTGGTGCCGGTTTGGGGGCCTTTTATTGACAGGTTTGGGGCTCCCTGACCCAGCTGCAGCTTGTTTAACAGAGTTTTAGCCTGAGAAAGGCCAGACCATTCATATGCAAAAGTCACTGCGCACAGCTTGGGTGGGGTTGTAAATTGGGTAGGGCAGGGTCTCAGGGAATCACCAGGGCAGAGCAAACAGAAATGGCTGCCAGTCAGCCCTGTGACAGGGGAGGTCCCAACATGGGAACAATGACTTCTGCCAGCACCTCCGTCTGGAAGAAAGCAAGCCCTGTGTTCCTGCCCCAATGCCAGAAAGTCCAGTTTCTCCCCATATGTGTCTGGGTCCCCCAGAACCTTGCCCAGCACTGCAGGTTAGAGGAAATGGGAGTTTGTAAATTCAGTTTACGGTGCTGGCCTTTTAAGAGGAGCAGCTCTGTCTCCAGCAGCTTGTGTGTCACTCAGCCCCAATCCGCACTGTTTTACAGCCTGTAGTTCTTACTGCCCGTAGGGACTTCTTTCCCCAGCTCTGGGACCCGGGTGGGGAGTCTGGTGTGGGGCTGGGACTCCTTGCTCCTTGCATCGGCCTCCGCAGAGGTGATCTCCCTCCTGATTAAAAAAAGCGGCACACCTGGGTGCCAGAGCAGCCCATTGTGCGCCTCCGCACCTCCTACCAGTCTCAGTGTGCTTTCTTCTTTACTTCTCTAGTTGTAGGACTTCAACTCAGCCAGCTTTCCCGCAATTCTGGATGATGGTTGTTCTGTATTTTATTTGTAATTTTGATGTGGTTGTGGGAGGCAGCAAGTACAGGCGTTTACCTATGCCGCCATCTTGGTTCTCCATAGTCTATCTTTTAATCAGTTATTATTTTACTATTGAGTTATAGGAGTTATTCATATATTTTGGAGATTACCCCCTTTATCAGATAAATGGTTTACAAATATTTTCTCCCATTATGTATGTTGTCTTTTCACTTTGTTGTTTCCTTTTCTGTGCAGAAACCTTTTTTAGTTTGATATACTCCTGTTTGTTTTTGTTTTTGTTGCCTGTCGTTTTGGTGTCATATCCCTGAAATCATTACCAAGACCAGTGTCATGATTTCTGCCTATGTTTTTACTCTAGTAGTTTTACAATTTCAGGTCTTATCTTAAGACTTTAATCCATTTTGAGTTGATTTTGTGTGTGGTTTAAGATAAGGGTCCAATTTCATTCTTTGGCATGTGGATATCCAGTTTTCCCAATCCCATTAGTTGAAGAAACTATCCTTACCCCATTACAGATTCAATGCAAATCCTATCAAAATCCAAATGGCATTTTTTACAGAAGTAGAAAGAAATTCTAAAATTCATATGGTACCACAAAAAAATCACTCATAGCTAAATCAATCTTAAGAAAAAAGAACAAAGCTAGAGGCACTGTACTTCCTGATTTGAGCACATGTTATAATGCTATAGTAATTAAAATAGTATGGTACAGGGAGAAACCAAGATGGCGGCATAGGTAAACACCGGAGATTGCTGCCACAAACAACCACTTCAAAAATACAACTAAAAGACGGAATGGACATCACCCAGAACCACAGGAAGGCTGGCTGAGGAGAGA